TTAAATCTATGTCATTTTGAATCGAGCTTGAATGTGATTTCTCAACTTCAAGAGACCTTAGGAATTTCCAAACATGGCTTGGATCTTCGTTTTAAACAGATTTATGGATATGGCGTCATGGTAAGTCTCTACACAACTTGTTGCATTGATTACGTAGATCCATTGATTACGTAGATGTACTTTTACCGACTCGTGTCATTTGTAGGATCTGACTTGTGCCTGGTCTTTGCAGCATTCTTTTTCGCTATAATTTTCTTAAGGTCTTCGGTCGGTTGAACTGGAAGAACAGGACCATGTACATCGTAAATCTTAATTAGGAGCGAGTTAAATACTGCTACCTGCTCGTCAACAGTACACGTGTTTGTTAAATCCCTCCGTATCCGTATTCACAGCATCTTCTCGTAATTTGTCAAAATCCATTTCCACAAAATTACACTGCAGAATTATCCCTGATTTGGCTTTGGGTGGTCTTATTTTATAGGAAAAAAATAAAATATCGTGATATGAGAAGGCATTAGCAGCACATTGAACATATTTTGCAACGTGGTTGAGAGAAGAAACAATAGCCAAATCAAGGAGAGGGGGGATGCAGTTAAGAAAAAAATGAGTTACAGTAAGGGGAAGAATATTTAAATTAGCTGTTTCAACCAGAGATTTAAGCCGAGGGGAGCGGGCATTTTCTTTAAGTAGGCGGTTATTAAATTCATCCATTAGCACAGTGTGTGTGTGTGTGTGTGTGTGTTTGTTGTGTGTGTGCGTGTTTGTCTGTGTGTGTGTGTGCGTGTGTGTGTGTATGTGAGAGTGTGTGTGTGTATGTGTGATGGAGTAAGCTCTTCAAGGAGGCTATCCAAAGTTGTAAAATAGTCAACTAAAGAAGTAGGGCTGTAAAAAACACCAAGAAGCAATATGGTGTGCGACAGGTGAACTTCAAAAAATAAGTAATCCACTTCGTTCTGATTTTGAGACTAAGGTGAAAGACGAACAATAGAAAATGGAATATAAGAACGAAGGTAAACAGCAACACCACCACCGCCCCGAACAGTCTGGTTATTGCATATTAAGTGGAATCCTGGAAGAGAATAGGAAATAGAAGGCAGACATCGTTATAACCATGATTCTGAAACTAAAACTGTATGAATGTTATTACCATCAAAGCTAGCCAGCATATCGGGGTATTGAGTCGGAATACTTTGTACACTATATTGAAATTTTTAAAACACTGTATAAAATGGGAGTCAAGAGTTTCTTTTAAAGATGGTATGCTTACAAAACTGTCGTTACTACTCAATACATCGGATGCTGAAGAGAAGAAACTTCGATTATGATCACTCTCACCTAAGGACATGTTATTTTTACAAAAAAATTAAGACAAAAAAGCTACAAACTAATTAAATAATAATAATAAAAAAGAAAATAACTTAAACTAAAAGCACTGAAACAAAACCAAAACAACAATTATTAAACTAAACCTGAACTACAGACATTCACTACCTACCAGCGTTTATACAAAATATGACTACATAAGTAATATAGTGAATAAAAACGAACCAAATATTGAAGTTTATTTGATAAATTATATTAAATATAAAATAAATGCTGTACCGGCAACACTAATACACAACAACATTTAAAACACTATTCAGTGAAGAAAAAAAAATTATATGAGGGCGGCACTGAAAATTTCGGGAATCAAGAAAGTGACACAACATTACTATTTAAAAATGTATTTATTGCTTTTCGAAGTATTCTCCGCGAAATTTGACACATTTTTCCATACGATGGAACCAATCATTGAAGCAACCATTCCATTCGGAAGGTGGGGTCTCCAAAATGGCCGTTTTGTAGGCGTCTACAACTTCTTCAGGTGATGAAAATCTCTGTCCACGCAATTTATTCTTTATTTTAGGGAAAGTATAGAAATCATTAGGGCTTAAGTCGGGGCTGTACGGCGGATGGTCTAATAACTCTGTGTTTTCCTGCTCTAAAAACTCTATTGTTCTGTGTGCGGTGTGAGAATTCGCATTGTCGTGATGGAGGATGATGCGGCGGTTGCATTTCTCTTTACGGAGTTCAGAAACGACCTGTGGCAAAAAAATGCTATCACATTCTGCATTAACCGTTCTTTGTCCCTCAAGAGGAATAGTCGTAACATGGCCGGTTTTGGAGACAAACGTAGCCACGATTTTTTTTGCAACACTCCGTGAACGAACAATTTTTGTTGGCTTTAGCTAATTTTCGAACACCCAAATTCGTGACTGGTTTTTTGTTTCGTGTTTATACGCATATATCCAGAATTCGTCACCTGATACAATGTTGTATACAGCATTTGAGGATCCTGCGCGGAATCTTTCGAGAGTTCTGACGCACCAAGTAACGCGAGCCGCTTTTTGCTCTTCTCATAGCGAATGCGGTATCCATCGGAAAAACAATATTTTACACCTAATTGTTCTTGCAAGATTATTTGTATTTGACTCATGCCAATGTCTAAAGTTGCCTGAATTTTGTGGTATGTCACATGTCGATCTTCCTCAATCAGCTTACGTAAAGCATCAACGTTTTCTTGGGTGACTGCAGTTTTTGGACCACCTTGACGGGGATCATCACTGAGCTTGACACGTCCACGTTAAAATTCAGCAAACCAGCAATAAATTGTGGTTTTGGATAGGGCTTTATCATTAAATGCAGAAATCATTTCACTTCCAAAGTCATAATAAGTCATCGCTCTTGAATTTTCTCGAGTCAATTCCATTTTCTCAACGACTAAACAAGTTTGACAAAACGTTGTGACAAGACCGTGAATATTTTTTAAAATAAATAAATGGTATTTGATTTTCAAAACCAAGGAGTTTTCAATTAAAAAGATTTTAATATGACAGGAACAGTGGAAATATTCCATTCCCGATACTTTTAGTGCAGCCTAGTAAACATTCTACGACGTTTACTGTGGGCTCAAATGTAGTTAGACTGTGGCACAAATGCCAACGTTACTTTTAGTACAAGATGTCAGTCCAAGCAAAACAAAACAATTACAATTAAAATCAAACGTCAAAGTGGTGAAGACCTACCAGCATTGTCATTTGTTAAAATAATACTTTTTAATAAAGGAGATGTTAACAAACAAGTGAAATAAAAAGAAAAAAAAATGTTAAGAAGAAAAGATAATTACAATAAAGTGACACGAAAAATAATGAAATTAACATACGATTTTTGTTCATAAGAAAATGAATGAGACATTATTCTACTTCTTCGCTAATCTCTTAGAGCTTTGAATAACTTTGTTAGATCCATTTCCTCCACAGGCTGCCGCCTGTTCTTGCGAAGCGGCTGCTGAAACTAGTGGTACGGCTAATGATTTCTTAAATTTACGCGAACACTACACATTGAATAAAACTAAATTTACGGATTTTATCGCGTTTATTTCACTACTTTTACTTATTTTTAATTCCCGACGTTTCGGGTGCTTTACAGCAACAATGGTCACGGGGGGGACTGAGATGTTTGACGTCCCAATGTCATAGTTAGTCCGGCTACCTTCAGTTTTTGAATATTAATTTTTGGTCCGATTTACGCAAAACGAGCTTATAGTATCATGAAGTCTTGCAGTGGTATGCTTAGGTTTGGGTGTAATTTTGTTAATTTTAGGATCCCTAGCAGGTGGCAGCACCCATCCCTCTTCTCTATTGAAATTTGGATGTTTTTTAATTTCAATAGCCTCGCGTATCATCCTTGGTAGGAATCGGTGTTCTTTTGCGAGTATTTGTGGTTTATCAAAACGAATGTAATGGTGGGGACGATCTTGAACATGTTCGCAGACTGCAAACTTCCCGGAGCGTCGGTGCTTCACGTGTAGTGGTACGGCATCTAGCTCTGCCATATACTCAACTCGATGAGGCGTGCTGTCAGGAGTTATAGTGTGGATACAACCATCTCTGGTCATTTACTTATGCCGAATTTCTGCCTGGCCTCCATGAATACCCTGTGACGGTCATTTGTAAGGAACTCGGATATTGTGACACCTGTGTGCATGACTTTGGCTTTTGAAAATCAAACTTGGTTACGAACAGCAACATCACGAAATTTAACCAATATCGGTCTTGGCTTCCTTCCTGATAAACGAAGTGTGGGATTCATCAGAGACTTTGAGTTTGTCCATTAAGAGAGAAGAGACTAGTATAGAGTATACTTAGTCTTATCCTCCGCAATTCCATGGAGCAGCAATATCTTACGTCGGCGTCTCATCTCCAGACGATCAATCTCTCTTCAAAGAAATTCTACCTATTTATGGACTGTTTCTAGAGAGGATAAGATGAACATTCTAAAAGTTGTAAACTCAACTGCCAGTACCGAAGCGTTTATGTAATAATAATAATAATAATAATAATAATGATAAGCGGCGTAGGGAAGTGACGACCCCATCGCCCGCTGACGTAACAGTTATGTGACAAAACTGCTACGTCGGCGCAGTCAGTCAGCATCCTGCCAAGAGGTGTGAGCGCCGTGCCTAGGCAAAATTGTAGGTGCAAAGGTCCGTTTGTGCATATGACCCAACCACGAAACGGTGCCGGGTTTGGGCGTCTCCCGTTATTTGGCGCCCATAAAATGGATGATGGCACAAAGAGGAACGCGCATAGGGCCGCTGCCTGGGGGTCGCCGGGGCGCGTCTGGAGCTGGCGCTGGACGCGGCAGCATGCGGGCCGCCAGCCGAGCGCGAGGAGCTGCACGATCACCTAGCAGCCCCTCGCATCCATCATCCCCACCAGAAGGCTTGGTGTCGGCTGGGTCTTCTCGGACTCAGCAAGCGGCACCCGCCGCTGGTGGAGCACGTCGCATGCGTTGGACAAAACCTATGAATGAAAACGCATTGCGGGCGTACTATAGGGCGAAAGGGGAAGAAACTGTGGGAATAGCGTATAGGTCTCGGATGCATTGCTTTTTTTGCTGAGCTGGAGCCTTCTACCCCCGTCACGGAACAAAACCTGGCAGACCGAGTTCGGTACATCATGCGCTCGAAAATATTTGATGATGCCGAACTCGGACGACTACGACGTGAGGCTATTCCGTCGTCGAATGAATCGGCTATGGCTGGAGATGCAGCTCCACATTCGACAGACCAGCATCCACACGTGGAAGCCGCCCTGGATCTTCTTGTTGTGGTTGATTCGAACGACGATGAAATAGTCTCCCACGAACTAGAGAAAATGAGGAGTATACTGGAAGAGGCGATTTTGGAAACGCGCAGCACCCCTATCGAAAATCGACCGCGACTTCCCCGCATACCCCTAAGCAAGCGAAATCGGGCTGTCGTGAGGGCTCTTAACCCAATGCTGGTGACCTATTTGGAAGCCAGCCGGGACCTTTGCGAGACGGACTCAATTCTCTTTGGCGCCGCAGTGGCAGTTTGCCGTATTATTGGCGCCAAACTTCCCATGGCTGGACGCGCTACTACACAAAGTAGCGCCATCCCAGCCTGGAGAAAAAGAATCGAGGACCGTATCGCAAAGGCAAGGGCCCTTATCGGCAGACTGACAAGCTTCAGGTCGGGTAATAATAGACCGAGGATTATGCGCACCGTTAGGATGGCGTTTGCTGGGACAAATATCAGTTTGTCCCAGCCGGATATCACGCAGAAACTAACGGAGCGCATAGACGACCTGAAGCAAAAGATCGCTGCTTGGGGGAAGCGGATTCGACGATTTACCGACAGGTCAAGGCGGTTCAACCAGAATCGTCTCTTCCAGAGTGATCAGAAGAGGCTCTATAAATCATTGGAGCGGCCAAAGGTATGTGGAGCGGGCCAAGGACCGGATCAGGCAGACATTATCGCATTCTGGCGTGGCCTGTGGTCAGAGCCCGTAAACCACAGCGAGGGCCCTTGGATGGAAGTTGTGGCGAGCCAGGGTGCGAGTGTTACGCCTATGGACCCCATCACCGTAACGCCGGAAGACGTGGCTGAGGCGGTCCGTAGGGCCCCGAACTGGAAAAGTCCGGGGCTCGACGGGCTGCATCATTACTGGCTGAAGGGGTTCATAGTGTGTCACGCTGTGCTCGCCCGACAGTTTCAAGAGGCTCTCGACCAGAAGTCGCTCCCGAGCCTCTTCACTACTGGGATCACTCACTTGGTTCCTAAAGATCAGGATACCACAGACCCGAGCAAATACCGCCCCATCACGTGTCTACCCACCATATATAAGACACTGACATCCATTTTGAGCGCGAGAATCACTCGGCACCTGGAGCTAAACCAGTTGATGTCACGCGCTCAAAATGGATGTCGGGGCGGTGGTCGTGGAACCAAGGAACCACTCCTCATTGACGCGGTCATTGGCAAAGTGGTGAAACGCAACCGTCGGAACTTCTCTGCCGCCTGGATAGACTATAGAAAGGCATTCGACTCGGTGCCCCATACATGGCTAAAGAGGGTCCTCGAGCTGTACAAGATTGACTGTACAGTTAGAGACTTCCTCGAGCAGTGTATGGGGCAGTGGAGTACGATCCTTTGTCATCTGGGCGAGCGGATGATGGCTGCGGAGAACCACATAAGGATAAGAAGGGGTATTTCCAGGGCGAATGTCTGAGTCCAATCTGGTTCTGCCTCTCTCTAAACCCTCTCAGTACCTTACTGGAGGGCTCCGGGAGGGGATTTCAGCTACGGAGAGGAGGGACAAAAGTGACCCACCTTTTCTATATGGATGACCTCAAGTTATTCGCCTCCAGTCGCTCCCATCTTATGGAACTGCTAAACATCACTTGTGAATTTAGCAGTTCCATTGGAATGGAGCTGGGGACGGATAAGTGTGCGGTCCTCCATGTTGAGAGGGGAAGGGTTGCTAACTCTGAGGGCATAGACTTGTCTATGCCCGTCAACTTAAGGACCCTTTCCGAGGCTGAAACATACCGATACCTGGGTATGTCACAGAACATCGGTATCGATGAGGCTGGTATGAAACAGTCAGTTTGCGACGTGTTTTATGCACGCTTGACCAAAGTGCTTAACAGCCTTTTGTCCGGTGTGAATAAGTCACACGCATATAATTGCTGGGTCATGCCTGTCCTCATGTATACCTTTGGCATACTCAGGTGGACTCAGACTGAGCTTAACGCCCTGGATAGAAGAGTCCGCACTACCATGACGTCCCATAGGATGCATCATCCGAGATCGTCGGTAATGAGGCTGTACTTGCCGCGAAAGCATGGTGGGCGTGGCTTTCTGAGCGCGCTCACCATGCATAATCGCGAAGTGTGCAGTCTCCGTCAATACTTCTTGACGAGATCGGATGATCCATTCTATAATGACGTCATTTCTAGTGATAAAGGGCTTACCCCTCTATCCTTAGCCAACGAGCAATGGCAGGACCCGGCAGTGCTTAGCATTCCCGACCGGGAGACCGTATGGAAGGAGAAGGAGCTCCACGGGAGGTACTACAAGGCTCTACATGAGCCCTTCGTAGATACAGTCGCCTCCCTCAACTGGCTACGTTTCGGTGACCTTTTCGGGGAAACCGAGGGTTTTGTCTGTGCAATACAAGATCAGGTTATTAAGACCAACAACTATCGGAGATACATCCTAAAGGATGGCACCGTCGACGTCTGTCGAGCTTGTCGCCATCCCGGGGAGTCACTTAGGCATGTCATCTCCGGTTGTTCGGCGCTTTCTAACTCTGAGTACTTGCACAGGCACAACCTAGTAGCCAGAATTCTACACCAGGAGCTCGCTCTGAAATACGGTCTCGTGGACCGGAAAGTGCCGTATTACAAGTACTTGCCGGAAGCCGTGCTCGAAAATGACCGCGCCAGGCTCTACTGGGACCGGGCCATCATCACAGACAGGACTATTCTTGCGAATAAACCTGATATTGTGCTGATGGACCGGGCACAGTCAAGAATATTTTTGGTCGATATTACCATCCCGTATGACGAGAACCTCGTGAAAGCCGAAACAGATAAGCAATCAAAGTATCTGGACCTGGCTCACGAGGTGACCGACATGTGGGGTGGTATGCCGACCGAAATTATTCCTGTAGTCGTCTCTGCGAATGGGCTAATCCCAGTTAGCCTCTCTGGTCATCTGAGGCGACTGGGACTCCGTGACGGACCGCTCCGGGCTCAAATGCAGAAGGCGGTGCTCCTTGATACTGCCCGCATCGTCCGCCGGTTTCTTTCCCTTTCCCCCTAACCCTCGGCCGTTTGGTCTCCCCTGCCGAGGGCTTCCATCTGGTTGGGCTTTTATTTATTTATGTATTTTTGTATTTATTTTATTTTATTAATATTTATGTATATTTATCTTTTCATTTTCATTTATAATTATATATTTATACATCCCAACCAGATGAGAAAACTATATAGATACCCCACATAATAATAATAGTGATAAATAATAAAATAAATAATAAGGCGTAGGGAAGTGACGACCCCATCGCCCGCTGACGAAACAGTTAAGTGACAAAACTGCTACGTCGGCGCAGTCACTCAGCTCCTTGCCAAGAGGTGTAAGCGCCGTGCCTCGGCAGAACTGCGAGTGCAAAGGCCCGTTTGTGCTTACGGCCGTACAATGATACAATAAAACGGTGCCAGGCCTGGGCGTCTCCCGCTAATTGGCGCCCAAAAATGGATGATGGATAAGATTGGAAAACGTATAGGGCCGCTGCCTGGGGGTCGCCGGGGCACGTCTGGAGCTGGCGCTGGACGCGGCAGCATGCGGGCCGCCAGCCGAGCGCGAGGAGCTGCAAGATCACCTAACAGCCCCCCGCATCCATCATCCCCACCAGACGGCTTGATGTCGGCAGGGTCCTCTCGGACTCGGCAAGCGGCATCCGCCGCTGGTGGAGTGCGCCGCATGCGTTGGACAAGGGATATGAACGCAAACGCAATGCGGGCGTACTATAGGGCGAAAGGGGAAGAAACTGCGGGGATAGCGTATCGGGCTCGGATGCATTGCTTTTTTGCTGAGCTGGAGCCGTCTATTCCCGTCACGGAACAAAACCTGGCAGACCGAGTTCGGTACATCATGCGCTCGAAAATATTCGATGATGCCGAGCTCGAACGACTACGACGTGAGGCCATTCCCTCATCGAATGAATTGGCTACGGCTGGGGATGCGGCTCCTCAGGCGACAGACCAGCTGCCACGCGTAGAAGCCGCCATGGATCTTCCAGTTGTGGGTGATTCAGACGATGATGAAATGGTCTCCCACGAACTAGAGCAAATGAGGAGTATATTGGAAGAGGCGATTTTAGAAACGCGCAGCATGCCTCTCGAAAATCGACCGCGACTTCCCCGCATACCCCTAAGCAAGCGAAATCGGGCTGTCGTGAGGGCTCTTAACCCAATGCTGGTAACCTATTTGGAAGCCAGCCGGGACCTTTGCGAGACGGACTCAGTTCTTTTTGGCGCCGCAGTGGCAGCTTGCCGTATTATTGGCGCCAAACTTCCCATGGCTGGACGCGCTACTAAACAAAGTAGCGCCATCCCAGCCTGGAGAAAAAGAATTGAGGACCGTATCGCAAAGGCAAGGGCCCTTATCGGCAGACTGATAAGCTTCAGGTCGGGTAATAATAGACCGAGGGTTGTGCGCACCGTTAGAATGGCGTTTGCTGGGACAAATATCAGTTTGTCCCAGCCGGATATCACGCAGAAACTAACGGAGCGCATAGACGACCTGAAGCAAAAAGATTGCCGCTTGGGGGAAGCGGATTCGCCGATTTACCGAGAGGTCAAGGCGGTTCAACCAGAATCGTCTCTTCCAGAGTGATCAGAAGAGGCTCTACAAATCATTGGAGCGACCAGAGGTATGTGGAGCGGGCCCAGGACCGGATCAGGCTGACACTGTCGCATTTTGGCGTGGCCTGTGGTCAGAGCCCGTAAACCACAGCGAGGGCCCGTGGACGGAAGTTGTGGCGAGTCAGTGTGCGAGTATTACGCCCATGGACCCCGTCATCATAACGCCGGATGACGTAGCTGAGGCGGTCCGTAGAGCCCCGAACTGGAAAAGTCCGGGACTCGACGGACTGCATCACTACTGGCTGAAGGGGTTCATGGTGTGTCACGCTGTGCTCGCCCGTCAGTTTCAAGAGGCTCTCAACCAGAAGTCGCTCCCTAGCCTCTTCACTACTGGGATCACTCATTTGGTTCCTAAAGACCAGGTTACCACAGACCCGAGCAAATACCGCCCCATTACGTGTCTACCCACCATATATAAGACACTGACATCCATTTTGAGCGCGAGAATCACTCGTCACCTGGAGCTAAATCAGGTGATGTCACGCGCTCAAAATGGATGTCGGGGCGGTGGTCGTGGAACTAAGGAACCACTCCTCATTGACGCGGTCATTGGCAAAGTGGTGAAACGCAACCGTCGGAACTTCTCCGCCGCCTGGATAGACTACAGAAAGGCATTCGACTCGGTGCCCCATACATGGCTAAAGAGAGTCCTCGAGCTGTACAAGATAGACTGTACAGTGAGAGACTTCCTCGAGCAGTGTATGGGGCAGTGGAGTACGATCCTTTGTCATCTGGGTGAGCGGATGATGGCTGCGGAGAACCACATAAGGATAAGAAGGGGTATCTTCCAGGGCGATTGTCTGAGTCCAATCTGGTTCTGCCTCTCCCTGAACCCTCTCAGTACCTTACTGGAGGGATCCGGGAGAGGATTTCAGCTACGGAAAGGAGGGACAAAAGTGACCCACTTTTTCTATATGGATGACCTTAAGTTATTCGCCTCCAGCCGCTCCCATCTTGTGGAATTGCTAAAAATCACTTGTGAATTTAGCAGTTCCATTGGAATGGAGCTGGGGACGGATAAGTGTGCGGTCCTCCATGTTGAGAGGGGAAGGGTTGCTAACTCTGAGGGCATAGATTTATCTATGCCCGTCAACTTAAGGACCCTTTCCGAGGCTGAAACATACCGATACCTGGGTATGTCACAGAACATCGGTATCGATGAGGCTGGTGTGAAACAGTCAGTTTGCGACGTGTTTTATGCACGCTTGACCAAAGTGCTTAACAGCCTTTTGTCCGGTGTGAATAAGACACACGCATATAACGGTTGGGTCATGCCTGTCCTTATGTATACCTTTGGCATACTCAGGTGGACTCAGACTGAACTTAACGCCCTGGATAGAAAAGTCCGCACTACCATGACGTCCCATAGGATGCATCATCCGAGATCGTCGGTAATGAGGCTGTACTTGCCGCCAAAGCATGGTGGGCGTGGCTTTCTAAGCGCGCTCACTATGCATAATCGTGAAGTGTGCAGCCTCCGTCATTACTTCCTGGCGAGATCGGATGATCCATTCTATAATGACGTCATTTCTAGTGATAAAGGGCTTACCCCTCTATCCTTGGCCAACGAGCAATGGCAGGACCCAGCAGTGCTTAGCATTTCCGACCGGGAGACCGTATGGAAGGAGAAGGAGCTCCACGGGAGGTACTACAGGGCTCTACATGAGCCCTTCGTAGATACAGTCGCCTCCCTCAACTGGCTACGTTTCGGTGACCTCTTCGGGGGAAACCGAGGGTTTTGTCTGTGCAATACAGGATCAGGTTATTAAGACCAACAACTATCGGAGATACATCCTAAAGGATGGCACCGTCGACGTCTGTCGAGCTTGTCGCCATCCCGGGGAGTCACTTAGACATGTCATCTCCGGTTGTTCGGCGCTTTCTAACTCTGAGTACTTGCACAGGCACAACCTAGTAGCCAGAATTCTACACCAGGAGCTCGCTCTGAAATACGGTCTCGTGGACCGGAAATTGCCGTATTACAAGTACTTGCCGGAAGCCGTGCTCGAAAATGACCGCGCCAGGCTCTACTGGGACCGGGCCATCATCACAGACAGGACTATTCTTGCAAATAAGCCTGATATTGTGCTGATGGACCGGGCACAGTCAAGGATATTTTTGGTCGACATTACCATTCCGTATGACGAGAACCTCGTGAAAGCCGAAACAGATAAGCAAACAAAATATCTGGACCTGGCTCACGAGGTGACCGACATGTGGGGTGGTCTGCCGACCGAAATTATTCCTGTAGTCGTCTCTGCAAACGGGCTAATCCCAGTCAGCCTCTCGGGTCATCTGAGGCGACTGGGACTCCGTGACGGACCGCTCCGGGCTCAAATGCAGAAGGCAGTGGTCCTCGATACCGCCCGCATCGTCCGTCGGTTTCTTTCCCTTTCCCCCTAACCCTCGGCCGTTTGGTCTCCCCTGCCGAGGGCTTCCATCTGGTTGGATCTTTATTTATTTGTGTATTTTTTTGTATTTATTTTATTTTATTGATATTTATGTATATTTATCTTTTCATTTTAATTTATAATTATATATTTATAGAAACCAACCAGATGAGAAAACTATACAGATACCCCAATAATAATAATAATAATTTCATTTTAATTTATAATTATATATTTATAGAAACCAACCAGAGTGAGCGCCTGCCTCAAAACTTGATACAGATACCCCAATAATAAGGTAATAATAAATAAGGATGATGGAACACAGAAGATTGCGTAAAGGGCCGCTGCCTGGAGGTCGTCAGGGCGCGTCTGGAGCTGGCGCTGGACGCGACAGCATGCGAACCGCCAGCCGAGCGCGAGGTGCTGCACGACCACCCAGCAGCCCCTCGCATCCATCATCCCCACCACCCGCTTGCTTGGTGTCGGCAGGGTCTTCGCAGACCCAGCAATCGGCACCCGCCACTGGTGGAGTACGCCGCATGCGATGGACCATCAATATGAATACAAACGCATTGCGGGCGTATTTTAGGGCGAAAGGGGGAGAAATTGGAGGTTTCGCGTATCGGGCTAGGATGCATCGTCTTTTTACTGAGCTGGAGCCATCTATTACTGTCACCGAGCAAAACCTGGCAGACCGAGTTCGGTATATCTTACGCTCAAATATATTTGATGGCGCCGAACTCGAACGGCTACGACGTGAGGCTGTTCCCTCATCAAATGAAAACGCTACGACTGGGGGTGCGGTGCCACAAGTTGCAGAACAACCCGCACACGTGGATGCCGCCGAGAATACCCCAGTGGTTGCTGATTCAAATGATGATGGAACATTCACCTAGGAACTAGAAATAGAGCAAATGAGGAGTACATTGGAAGAGGCGATTATGGAAACGCGCAGTACGCCTCTCGAAAATCGACCGCGACTTCCCCGCATAGCCCTAAGCAAGCGGAATCGGGCTGTCGTGAGGGCTCTGAACCCAATGCTGGTGACCTATTTGGAAGCCAGCCGGGACCTTTGCGAGACGGACTCAATTCTCTTTGGCGCCGCACTGGCAGTCTGCCGTATTATAGGCGCCAAACTTTCCACGGCTGGACGCACTACTGGACAAAGTAGTGCTATCCCAGCCTGGAGAACAAGAATTGAAGAACGTATCGCAAAGGCTAGGGCCCTCATCGGCAGACTGATATGCTTCAGGTCAGGCAATACCAGGCCAAGGATTGTGCGCACCGTCAGGATGGCGTTTGCTGGGACAAATGTTAGTTTGTCCCAGCCGGATATAATGCAAAAACTGACGGAGCGCATAGACGACCTGAAGCAGAGAATCGCTGCTTGGGGAAAGCGAATTCGGCGATATACCGAGAGGTCGACACGGTTCAACCAGAATCGTCTCTTCCAGAGTGATCAGAAGAGGCTCTATAAATCATTGGAGCGACCAATGGTAAGTGGAACGGGCCCAGTACCGAATCAGGCCGACACGGTCGCATTCTGGCGCAGCCTGTGGTCAGAGCCGGTAAACCACAACGAGGGCCCTTGGACGGAAGTTGTGGCGAGTCAGTGTGCGGGTATTACGCCCATGGACCCCGTCACCATAACGCCGGATGACGTAGCTGAGGCGGTCCGTAGGGCCCCGAACTGGAAAAGTCCGGGACTCGACGGGCTGCATCACTACTGGCTGAAGGGGTTCGTGGTGTATCACACTGTGCTCGCCCGACAGTTTCAAGAGGTTCTCAACCAGAAGTCGCTCCCGAGCCTCTTCACTACTGGGATCACCCATTTGGTTCCTAAAGGCCAGGGTACCACAGACCCGAGCAAATACCGCCCCATCACATGTCTACCTACCATATACAAGACACTAACATCCATTTTGAGCGCGAGAATCACTCGTCACCTGGACTCAAATCAGGTGATGTCGCGCGCTCAAAATGGATGTCGGGGCGGCGGTCGTGGAACCAAGGAACCACTCCTCATTGACGCGGTCATTGGCAAAGTGGTGAAACGCAACCGTCGGAACTTCTCCGCCGCCTGGATAGACTACAGAAAGGCATTCGACTCGGTGCCCCATACATGGCTAAAGAGAGTCCTCGAACTGTACAAGATAGACTGTACAGTTAGAGACTTCCTCGAGCAGTGTATGGGGCAGTGGAGTACGATCCTTTGTCATCTGGGCGAGCGGATGACGGCCGCGGAGAACCACATAAGGATAAGAAGGGGTATCTTCCAGGGCGATTGTCTGAGTCCAATATGGTTCTGCCTCTCGCTGAACCCTCTCAGTACCTTACTGGAGGGCTCCGGAAGGGGATTTCAGCTACGGAAAGGAGGGACAAAAGTGAACCACCTTTTATATATAGATGACCTCAAGTTATTCGCCTCCAGTCGCTCCCATCTTATGGAATTGCTAAACATCACTTGTGAATTTAGCAATTCCATTGGAATGGAGCTGGGGACGGACAAGTGTGCGGTACTCCATGTTGAGAGGGGAAGGGTTGCTAACTCTGAGGGCATAGACTTATCTATGCCCGTCAACTTAAGGACCCTTTCCGAGGCTGAAACATACCGATACCTGGGTATGTCACAGAACATCGGTATCGATGAGGCTGGTATGAAACAGTCAGTTTGCGACGTGTTTTATGCACGCTTGACCAAAGTGCTTAACAGCCTTTTGTCCGGTGTGAATAAGACACAAGCATATAACGGCTGGGTCATGCAGTCAGCCTCTCGGGTCATCTGAGGCGGCTGGGACTACGTGGCGGACCGCTCCAGGTTCAAATGCAGAAGGCGGTGCTCCTCGATTCCGCCCGCATCGTCCGCCGGTTTCTTTCCCTTTCCCCCTAACCCTCGGCCGTTTGGTCTCCCCTGCCGAGGGCCTCCATCTGGTTGGGCTTTTATTTATTTATGTACTTTTATATTTATTTTTTGTTATTGATATTTATGTATATTTATCTTTTCATTTTCATTTATAATTATATATTTATAGAACCCAACCAGATGAGAAAACTATATAGATACTCCATAATAATAATAATAGGCGTAGGGAAGTGACGACCCCACCGCCCGCTGACGTAACAGTTATGTGACAAAACTGCGACGTCGGCGCAGTCAGTCAGCATCCTGCCAAGAGGTGTGAGTGCCGTGCCTAGGCAAAATTGTAGATGCAAAGGTCCGTTTGTGCATATGACCCAACCACGAAACGGTACCGGGCTTGGGCGTCTCCCGTTATTTGGCGCCCATAAAATGGATGATGGAAAAAACACAAAAAGGAACGCGCATAGGGCCGCTGCCTGGGGGTCCCCGGGGCGCGTCTGGAGCTGGCGCTGGACGCGGCAGCATGCGGGCCGCCAGCCGAGTGCGAGGAGCTGCACGATCACCTAGCAGCCCCTCGCATCCATCATCCCCACCAGAAGGCTTGGTGTCAGCTGGGTCTTCTCGGACACAGCAAGCGGCACCCGCCGCTGGTGGAGCACGTCGCATGCGTTGGACAAAATCCATGAACGAAAACGCATTGCGGGCGTACTATAGGGCGAAAGGGGAAGAAACTGTGGGAATAGCGTATAGGTCTCGGATGCATTGCTTTTTTGCTGAGCTGGAGCCGTCTATCTCCGTCACGGAACAAAACCTGGCAGACCGAGTTCGGTACATCATGCGCTCGAAAATATTTGATGATGCCGAACTCGAACGACTACGACGTGCGGCTATTCCGTCGTCGAGTGAATCGGCGATGGCTGGAGATGCAGCTCCACATTCGACAGACCAGCATCCACATGTGGAAGCCGCCATGCATCTTCCACTTGTGGTTGATTTAAACGACGATGAAATAGTCTCCCACGAACTAGAGCAAATGAGGAGTATATTGGAAGAGGCGATTTTGGAAACGCGCAGCACCCCTCTTGAAAATCGACCGCGACTTCCCCGCATAGCCCTAAGCGAGCGGAATCGGGCTGTCGTGAGGGCTCTGAACCCAATACTGGTGACCTATTTGGAAGCCAGCCCGGACCTTTGCGAGACGGCCTCAATTCTCTTTGGCGCCGCACTGGCAGTCTGCCGTATTATAGGCACCAAACTTTCCACGGCTGGACGCACTACTGGACAAAGTAGTGCTATCCCAGCCTGGAGAACAAGAATTGAAGAACGTATCGCAAAGGCTAGGGCCCTCATCGGCAGACTGATATGCTTCAGGTCAGGCAATACCAGGCCAAGGATTGTGCGCACCGTCAGGATGGCGTTTGGTGGGACAAATGTTAGTTTGTCCCAGCCGGATATAATGCAAAAACTGACGGAGCGCATAGACGACCTGAAGCAGAGAATCGCTGCTTGGGGAAAGCGAATTCGGCGATATACCGAGAGGTCGACACGGTTCAACCAGAATCGTCTCTTCCAGAGTGATCAGAAGAGGCTCTATAAATCATTGGAGCGACCAAAGATATGTGGAGCGGGCCAAGGACCGGATCAGGCTGACATTATTGCTTTCTGGCGTGGCCTGTGGTCAGAGCCCGTAAACCACAGTGAGGGCCCTTGGATGGAAGTTGTGGCGAGCCAGGGTGCGAGTGTTACGCCTATGGACCCCATCATCATAACGCCAGAAGACGTAGCTGAGGCGGTCCGTAGGGCCCTGAACTGGAAAAGTCCGGGGCTCGACGGGCTGCATCATTACTGGCTGAAGGGGGTTCATGGTGTGTCATGCTGTGCTCGCCCGACAGTTTCAAGAGCCTCTCGACCAGAAGTCACTCCCGAGCCTCTTCACTACTGGGATCACTCACTTGGTTCCTAAAGATCAGGATACCAAAGACCCGAGAAAATACCGCCCCATCACGTGTCTACCCACCATATATAAGACACTGACATCCATTTTGAGAGCGAGAATCACTCGTCACCTGGAGCTAAACCAGATGTCGGGGTGGTGGTCGTGGAACTAAGGAACCACTCCTCATTGACGCGGTCATAGGCAAAGTGGTGAAACGCAACCGTCGGAACTTCTCTGCCGCCTGGATAGACTACAGAAAGGCGTTCGACTCGGTGCCCCATACATGGCTAAAGAGAGTCCTGCAGCTGTACAAAATTGACTGTACAGTTGGAGACTTCGTCGAGCAGTGTATGGGGCAATGGAGTACGATCCTTTGCTATCTGGGCGAGCGGATGATGGCTGCGGAGAACCACATAAGGATAAGAAGGGGTATCTTCCAGGGCGATTGTCTGAGTCCAATCTGGTTTCCCTCTCCCTGAACCCTCTCAGTACTTTACTGGGGGGCTCCGGGAGGGGATTTCAGCTTCGGAAAGGAGGTGCAAAAGTGACCGACCTTTTCTATATGGATGAACTCATGTTATTCGCCTCCAGTCGCTCCCATCTTATGGAATTGCTAAACATCACTTGTGAATTTAGCAATTCTATTGGAATGGAGCTGGGAACGGATAAGTGTGCGGTCCTCCACGTTGAAAGGGGGAGGGTTGCTAACTCTGAGGGCATAGACTTATCTATGCCCGTCAACTTAAGGACCCCTTCCGAGGCTGAAACATACCGATACCTGGGTATGTCACAGAACATCGGTATCGATGAGGCTGGTATGAAACAGTCAGTTTGCAACGTGTTTTATGCACGCTTGACCAAAGTGCTTAACAGCCTTATGTCCGGTGTGAATAAGACACACGCATATAACGGCTGGGTCATGCCTGTCCTCATGTATACCTTTGGCATACTCAGGTGGACTCAGACTGAGCTTAACGCCCTGGATAGAAAAGTCCGCACTACCATGACGTCCCACAGGATGCATCATCCGAGATCGTCGGTAATGAGGCTGTACTTGCCGCGAAAGCATGGTGGGCGTGGCTTCTTGAGCGCGCTCACCATGCATAATCGCGAAGTGTGCAACCTCCGTAATTACTTCCTGGCGAGATCGGATAATCCATTCTATAAGGACGTCATTTCTAGTGATAAAGAACTTACCCCTCTATCCTTTGCCAACGAGCAAAGGCAAGACCCGGCAGTGCAGACAATTTCCGACCTGGAGAACGTATGGAAGGAGAAGGAGCTCCACGGGAGGTTCTACAAGAATCTACATGAGCCTTTCGTAGACACAGTAGCCTCCATCCACTGGCTACGCTTTGGTGATCTATTCGGGGGAAACCGAGGGTTTTGTCTGTGCAATACAGGATCAGGTTATTAAGACCAACAACTATCGGAGATACATCCTAAAAGATGGCACCGTCGAAATCTGTCGAGCTTGTCGCCATCCCGGTGAGTCACTTAGGCATGTCATCTCCGGTTGTTCGGCGCTTTCTAACTCTGAGTACTTGCACAGGCACAACCTAGTAGCCAGAATTCTACACCAGGAGCTCGCTCTGAAATACGGTCTCGTGGATCGGAAATTGCCGTATTACAAGTACTTGTCGGAAGCCGTGCTCGAAAATGATCGCGCCAGGCTCTATTGGGACCGGGCCATCATCACAGACAGGACTATTCTTGCTAATAAGCCTGATATTGTGCTGATGGACCGGGCACAGTCAAGGATATTTTTGGTCGACATTACCATTCCGTATGACGAGAACCTCGTGAAAGCCGAAACAGACAAGCAAACAAAATATCTGGACCTGGCTCACGAGGTGACCGACATGTGGGGTGGTCTGCCGACCGAAATTATTCCTGTAGTCGTCTCTGCAAACGGGCTAATCCTAGTCAGCCTCTCGGGTCATCTGAGGCGGCTGGGAATACGTGGCGGACCGCTCCAGGTTCAAATGCAGAAGGCGATGCTCCTCGATACCGCCCGCATCGTCCGCCGGTTTCTTTCCCTTTCCCCCTAACCTACGGCCGTTTGGTCTCCCCTGCCGAGGGCCTCCATCTGGTTGGGCTTTTATTTATTTATGTACTTTTATATTTATTTTATGTTATTGATATTTATGTATATTTATCTTTTCATTTTCATTTATAGTTATATATTTATAGAACCAAACCAGATGAGAAGATTATATTGATACCCCCACAATAATAATAAAAAGGCGTAGGAAAGTGACGACCCCATCGCCCGCTGATGTAACAGTTATGTGACAAAACTGCGACGTTGGCGCATTCAGTCAGCATCCTGCCAAGAGGTGTGAGCGCCGTGCCTAGGCAAAATTGTAGATGCAAAAGTCCGTTTGTGCATATGACCCAACCACGAAACGGTGCCGGGCTTGGGCGTCTCCCGTTATTTGGCGCCCATAAAATGGATGATGGAAAAAACACAAAAAGGAACGCGCATAGGGCCGCTGCCTGGGGGTCGCCGGGGCGCGTCTGGAGCTGGCGCTGGACGCGGCAGCATGCGGGCCGCCAGCCGAGTGCGAGGAGCTGCACGATCACCTAGCAGCCCCTCGCATCCATCATCCCCACCAGAAGGCTTGGTGTCGGCTGGGTCTTCTCGGACACAGCAAGCGGCACCCGCCGCTGGTGGAACACGTCGCATGCGTTGGACAAAATCCATGAACGAAAACGCATTGCGGGCGTACTATAGGGCGAAAGGGAAAGAAACTGTGGGAATAGAGTATAGGTCTCGGATGCATTGCTTTTTTGCTGAGCTGGAGCCGTCTATCCCCGTCACGGAACAAAACCTGGCAGACCGAGTTCGCCGTCGTCGAATGAATTGGCTATGGCTGGAGATGCAGCTCCACATTCGACAGTCCAGCATCCACACGTGGAAGCCACCATGGATCTTCCAGTTGTGGTTGATTCGAACGACGATGAAATAGTCTCCCACGAACTAGAGCAAATGAGGAGTATATTGGAAGAGGCGATTTTGGAAACGCGCAGCACCCCTCTCGAAAATCGACCGCGACTTCCCCCGCATACCCTTAAGCAAGCGAAATCGGGCTGTCGTGAGGGCTCTTAACCCAATGCTGGTGACCTATTTGGAAGCCAGCCGGGACCTTTGCGAGACGGACTCGATTCTCTTTGGCGCCGCAGTGGAAGTTTGCCGTATTATTGGCGCCAAACTTCCCACGAATGGACGCGCTACTACACAAACTAACGCCATCCCAGCCTGGAGGAAAAGAATCGAGGACCGTATCGCAAAGGCAAGGGCCCTTATCGGCAGACTGACAAGCTTCAGGTCGGGTAATAATAGACCGAGGATTATGCGCAACGTTAGGATGGCGTTTGCTGGGACAAATATCAGTTTATCCCAGCCGGATATCACGCTGAAACTAACGGAGCGCATAGACGACCTGAAGCAAAAGATCGCTGCTTGGGGGAAGCGGATTCGACGATTTTCCGAGGGGTCAAGGCGGTTCAACCAGAATCGTCTCTTCCAGAGTGATCAGAAGAGGCTCTATAAATTATTGGAGCGACCAAAGGTATGTGGAGCGGGCCAAGGACCGGATCAGGCTGACATTATTGCTTTCTGGCGTGGCCTGTGGTCAGAGCCCGTAAACCACAGTGAGGGCCCTTGGATGGAAGTTGTGGCGAGCCAGGGTGCGAGTGTTACGCCTATGGACCCCATCATCATAACGCCAGAAAACGTGGCTGAGGTGGTCCTTAGGGCCCCGAACTGGAAAAGTCCGAAGCTCGACGGGCTGCATCATAACTGGCTGAAGGGGTTCGTAGTGTGTCACGCTATGCTCGCCCGACAGTTTCAAGAGGCTCTCGACAAGAAGTCACTCCCGAGCCTCTTCACTACTGGGATCACTCCCCTTGGTTCCTAAAGATCAGGATACAACAGACCCGAGCGAGTACCGCCCCATCACGTGTCTACCCACCATATATAAGACACTGACATCCATTTTGAGCGCGAGAATCACTCGTCACCTGGAGCTAAACCAGGTGATGTCACGCGCTCAAAATAGATGTTGGGGCGGTGGTCGTGGAACCAAGGAACCACTCCTCATTGGCGCGGTCATAGGCAAAGTGGTGAAACGCAACCGTCGGAACTTCTCTGCCGCCTGGATAGACTACAGAAAGGCGTTCGACTCGGTGCCCCATACATGGCTAAAGAGGGTCCTCGAGCTGTACAAGATTGACTGTACAGTTAGAGACTTCCTCGAGCAGTGTACGGGGCAGTGGAGTACGATCCTTTGTCATCTGGGTGAGCGGATGACGGCTGCGGAGAACCACATAAGGATAAGAAGGGGTATCTTCCAGGGCGATTGTCTGAGTCCAATCTGGTTCTGCCTCTGTCTTAACCCTCTCTGTACCTTACTGGAGGGCTCCGGGAGGGGATTTCAGCTACGGAAAGGAGGGACAAAAGTGACCCACCTTTCCAATATGTATGACCTCAAGTTATTCGCCTCCAGTCGCTCCCATCTTATGGAACTGCTAAACATCACTTGTGAATTTAGCAGTTCCATTGGAATGGAGCTGGGGACGGATAAGTGTGCGGTCCTCCATGTTGAACGGGGAAGGGTTGCTAACTCTGCGGGCATAGACTTGTCTATGCCCGTCAACTTAAGGCCTTTTTCCGAGGCTGAAACATACCGATACCTGGGTATGTCACAGAACATCGGTATCGATGAGGCTGGTATGAAACAGTCAGTTTGCGACGTGTTTTATGCACGCTTGACCAAAGTGCTTAACAGCCTTTTTGTCCGGTGTGGAATAAGACACACGCATATAACGGCTGGGTCATGCCTGTCTTCATGTATACCTTTGGCATACTCAGATGGACTCAGACTGAGCTTAACGCCCTAGATAGAAAAGTCCGCACTACCATGACGTCCCAGGATGCATCGTCCGAGATCGTCGGTAATGAGGCTGTACTTGCCGCGAAATTATGGTGGGCGTGGCTTTCTGAGCGCGCTCACCATGCATAATCGCGAAGTGTGCAGTCTCCGTCAGTACTTCTTGGCGAGATCGGATGATCCATTCTATAATGACGTCATTTCTAGTGATAAAGGGCTTACCCCCTCTATCCTTAGCCAACGAGCAATGGCAGGACACAGCAGTGCTTAGCAATTCCGACCGGGAGACCGTATGGAAGGAGAAGGAGCTCCACGGGAGGTACTACAAGGCTTTACATGAGCCCTTCGTAGATACAGTTGCCTCCCTCAAATGGCTACGTTTCGGTGACCTCTTCTGGGAAACCGAGGGTTTTGTCTGTGCAATACAGGATCAGGTTATTAAGACCAACAACTATCGGAGATACATCCTAAAGGATGGCACCGTCAACGTCTGTCGAGCTTGTCGCCATCCCGGGGAGTCACTTAGGCATGTCATCTCCGGTTGTTCCGGCGCTTTCTAACTCTGAGTACTTGCACAGGCACAACCTAGTAGCCAGAATTCTACACCAGGAGCTCGCTCTGAAATACGGTCTCGTGGACCGGAAATTGCCATATTACAAGTACTTTCCGGAAGCCTTGCTCGAAAACGACCGCGCCAGGCTCTATTGGGACCGGGCCATCATCACATACAGGACTATTCTTGCGAATAAGTCTGATATTGTGCTGATGGACCGGGCACTGTCAAGGATATTTTTGGTCGATATTACCATCCCGTATGACGAGAACCTTGTGAGAGCCGAAACAGATAAGCAATCAAAATATCAGGACCTGGCTCACGAGGTGACCGACATGTGGGGTGGTCTGCCGGCCAAAATTATTCCTGTAGTCGTCTCTGCGAATGGGCTAATCCCAGTTAGCCTCTCTGGTCATCTGAGGCGACTGGGACTCCGTGACAGACCGATCCGGGCTCAAATGCAGAAGGCGGTGCTCCTTGATACTGCCCGCATCGTCCGCCGGTTCCTTTCCCTTTCTCCCTAATCCTCGGCCGTTTGGTCTCCCCTGCCGAGGGCTTCCATCTGGTTGGGCTTTTATTTATTTATGTATTCTCGTATTTATTTTATTTTATTGATATTTTTGTATATTTGACTTTTCATTTTCGTTTATAATTATATATTTATACATCCCAACCAGATGAGAAAACTATATAGATACCCCACATATAATAATAATAATAATAATAATCTTATGTATAACTTTGGCATACTCAGGTTGTTTAAATCCCAAAAAAATGCTCCTTGCGAATATAAATAAAACTTCAGATTCACCAAGGCAAGTCAACAACATTTATTTTCACAAACACCTTTATAGAATTTGAATAGATCTTAACATCGCGACTTGCAAAACTCGTGTCAAAATTCAACGCCATCTATGAATAACTAGCCACACTACAATTACTGCTAAATATACATAATTAGTACAGCGCCATCTATTAACTCACACCATTATTACTAACACATATCGCTTTATGAGTGAGCATTGAACATTCCGCCCACCATGGACGAAATGTCCATATTCAACAATTACTAAAAGAATTCGACTTACAATTATAAATAACAATAAGGAAAAATGAAGACTAATTCACATCTATAGAATCCGCGCACCATTGCATTAGGCGGTGTTGAACCAAACTAAAAACAAATACAACATGACGTTGTATTTTACATTACAATATATATTATACCGACATGATAAAAGGAACTTAAATTTAAGGCATACAATTAATATTGACAAACTTAGGTAACATACTTTGTAAAGCAGCAAGGCAAAGAAGCAGATTGGAACGCATTTATCATTTAGTAACAGGGAGAATAATCAACTTGGATACGGGACGCTTTATAATCGAATTCTTGCATCGCAAGGATACAACACGCGTTAGATTGTCAGAGCCGGGATGTTTGTGGGTAATGATGCCGTAAAGCCACTTAGCTGGTGGAAGGTCAGTTTCTTTCACTAGAACTATATCTCCTATGTTAGGTTCGGGAGTTCGGCGAGACCATTTATAGCGATGGTGAAATTGTGTCAGATATTCGTGTGCCCATCTATGCCAGAAATCTTGCACTAATCGTTGGGTGAGGTGCCACCTTTTTAAACTACTAATATTAGAACTTTCGAATTTATGATCAGGCACGAGTATCAGAGACTCGCCGACTAAAAAATGTCCTGGTGTTAGTGGGAAGGGTTCATCAAGATTATTGGTAATTTGGGAAAGAGGTCGGGAGTTCAAGCATGCCTCTATTTGTGCCAAAACTGTGGTCAACTCCTCAAAAGTCAAGGTGTGGTTACCAACAACTCTTTTCAGATGATACTTAGTGGATTTTACCCCTGCCTCCCAAAGCCCTCCAAAATTTGGAGAGTGAGGTGGAATGTAATGCCACTTCGTTCCATTGTTGCCTAACCACTCGGCAATCTCCGCAGCTACGCTAGACCTTTCGTGATTTAATAAATTTTGTAACTCCCTATCAGCTCCAACAAAGGTGGTGCCGTTATCGCTCCACAGCTCAGCACAATGTCCTCGTCTGGATGTAAATCGCCTAAAAGCTGCCAGAAAAGCCTGTGAAGTCAGATCGCTGACAACTTCGAGGTGGATAGCCCGAGTGGACATGCAGACAAAGACACAGATGTACCCTTTAGTGGAATGATAACCGCGACCCTTCATGGGTCTGACGGCGATTGGGCCGGCGTAATCCACACCACTTCTTAGAAAAGGTCGGCAAGCTGTCGCTCTTGCCTCAGGCAAGTTACCCATCAGCTGCTGGTTAGTCTGAGCAGAATGACGTACGCAAGTCACGCATTTTTTAACAAATTGCCTGACAAGACCCTTTGCGTTTATTACCCAATACTTTGATCTTAGATAATTGAGCATTAATTGCGGCCCACCATGCATTGTGCGATCGTGGGCATGAGCTATCAAAAGATCTGTGAATGCAGACTTATGAGGAATGAGCACAGGATTCTTCATGTCCTCTGGGATCTTGGCATGACGTAAACGACCACCTACTCTTAAGATCTCATTTTCATCGAGGTAAGGATTTAACGAGGTAAGTGTGCTCTTTCCTTTTATTCTTCCCCTTCTTTTTAACGAATCCATGTCTTCCTTGAAGTACTGGGTTTGGCACATTTTTATGCAGGTAAGTAATGCTTCATTTATTTCCGATGAACTTAACCAACTAGTTTTAATTTTGCCCTTAGATTTTAAATACAAAAACCTTCTACAATATGCAATGACTCTAGTAAGTTTATTTAGTGATGAAAATTTTGAAAGCACATCTTCAGAACTGCAGGTAAGTGAATGAACCATAAATCTTTTCTTTTTCTCTTCTAAACATGTATCCTGTAATTTCCCTGTATTATATTGTATTTCTTTATTTTTGAGCCATTTAGGACCGCATTTCCAGATCTTAAATCTTGCCAATTCAGACGGTAGCACACCGCGGGAAGCACCATCCGCGGGATTGTCACTCGATTGGACGTGTGACCATTGGTGAACATCCAAGAGAGTGAGTATTTCGGATACCCTGTTAGCCACAAAGGTTTTCCATTTGCTTGGATGACTTCTCAGCCACGACAGTACCACGGATGAGTCAGTCCAGGCGTGGATATTTTCCCTTGAAACTTCTAAGGTATCCGAAACGTCCCGCATAAGCTTGGCAAGCAACACTGCACCGCAGAGCTCTAGTCTAGGAATGCTCACCTGTTTGACAGGAGCCACCTTTGTCTTTGAAGAAACTAAATTGACATGAATCGCTCCATCTTGACCAATAATTCTGGCATATACAACAGCTGCAAACGCATTATTGGATGCGTCACAAAATCCTTGGAGCTCTAGACATGCTCCACTATGAAGACCTAACCATCTGGGAATACAAAACTCGGTGAGCTGACTAAGGCTACTACGATAGGCTATCCACTCGTGCAGTAAATGGGATGGA